GTGGAATTTATCCTTAATATGTTCCCGCAAGATGTTGACTCGTTTGAGCAAATCAATCTTAATATCCCATGCTCATTTTTTAAGACTTAATCGAATCGAGTTGTTCGTTGGAACTTAATTGGCTAATCGAGTTGTTCGTTGGAACTTAATTGGCTCTATACCATATTAAGATGAATAGTTCAAACCCTTATAAGTGATCTATGTTTTTATCTTTATTTGATATGAAATTTTATCGCTTAACATGCTCATGCAAAATGGTGGCTTATTTATGCAAATCAATCTAGAAATTCGTGTGCTCATTTTTAAATTTTAATCGGATCGAATTGCACATTTGAACTTAACATACTATGATATCATATTAAAGCTTAAAATTCTATCTTAAAAAGTCAACTTTATTAAGTGAAATAGTACAAACCCTTATAAGTTGGTTTGTATTATCATTTATTTGATGTGATAATTATCCTTTGATATGCTCTCACAAGATGATGGTTTGTTTGAGCATATCAATCTTAAAATCTGCATGTTCATTTTTTTTAGTCTTAATTTGATCGAATTTTTCATTGGAACTTAATGAAATTTGATGTCATAGTGAAACTTGGGATTCCATCTTAAAATGTCAACATTTTTAATAGTAATAGCTCAAACATTTATAAGTTGGTTTATATTTTTATTTTTATTCGATATAGGATTTTATCCCTTAAAATATCCCCGCAAAAGATTGGCTCTTTTGAGCAGACCAATCTTGAAATTCGTATATTAATTTTTTTTTTAATCTTAATCTGATTGAATTGATCGTTGAAATTTAATGGACTCCGATACCATATAAATATTTGTGGTTCCATATTAAAATGTTAACCTTGCTAGGAGGTGTAACCCAAACTTTTATATGTTAGTTTATATTTTTTTTCTTTATTCGATGCGTCCCTAACAATGACAAGAACCTCTAAGGGGCCGTTCTCTTTGATCGTTTTGGATCGTTTTCTGTTTTCAATTTTTCAAATTAATGAAAACGCATTCTCTTTATCATTTTCGAAAACAGATTTTGGAAAACGAAAAAAAATGTGAAGAACATATCAGAAATTGGAAAACACGGAAAACCGCCATATTTCCCCAAAATGTCTCATCCCTCCTTTCTGCCAAGCCACCTCCACCTTCCAACCCTCTAAACTCCAGCCAACCTCTTCCAAAACGGCCGAATTTATATACCATTGTGAAGCCCTCAATCCCCTCTTCAATCACCACACAAACAAATAAATTAAACATGAAAGTTGTTATGTCATGCGATGCTAGATTTGATGATGAAACGCCTTATTTCAGAAAATCTTTAGAAAATGGTGGTAAGGGAGAGTTTTTTCTTGATCATGTTCCCTTGCCTACTAACATCACCCTTGACTATGTTGCTCCAGCTCCTTGTCATGATGATCAAAGAGTAAAAAACCTCACTGTCACAACTAGAGATAATTACTCTGAGCCGTCTAGTTCAGCTTCTCATGTAGACTCTTCACCACCACCTTCAGTCTTAGTCTGAAGAAATTCTACTCGTGACGGACATCCACCACCAATGCTATAGGTGTTACAACCCATTTTTAATTAGTCCAAGTAAATGGTTGAATTGTCAAGGTCAAAGTCAATATGGACT